CCCAATACCCGATATTCATCCCTTACCAAAGAGACAAACCAAAGTTCGCTCTCCGAAAGCTAAAAGGATTTTCTCAATTGCATTTTATAATTACTCAAAATATATGCGTGTTGATATTCATGGGTTGCAATCGCTTAAAGGGTTGCACTAGTGTAGCCACGGGTACGATCTTTGTACACGTAACCATTATTCAGTACTCAGGTAAGTTCAATGTTAAAATGCAGAATATTGATCGCTTAATCATTTGTGTATGTTCTTTGATCACGGAAATCTATGTTCCGACATTTGCGTGATTCCAATATCTTGTAATATACTGTACAAAAATCCACTACATGTACTGTCATTGCACTTTTCTGATCCGTGAACATTGACACGCAGTGTAGGAGGCTACAACCAGGTTCACGTCCATTTCTTAACCATCCTTCTATATTACATTATCAATCTAATCGCTACGTTACCTTGATGTTCGTAAGACATATGTGTAAAATAAAAAAAGTTTATGGTATCCCTACGCACAGGTCTTCTGAGCGTAATCATTTTCATCATGGCTTCCATTTCAGATCCAAAATTTTTATGCAATAAAACATTGTAAACACAGACCCTCATTATACGACCATAAAATTTGCAATATTATTAGATTGTTAAGAAAACCAAAGAATCAATAGTTACAATTTGATATTATTTTCTTTGTTCAGCATCTTACAGCATCTTATACATAAACAATTGGAGACCAACCAACCCATGGCAAGCCAAGGAACATGCTAATGCTATACTGTAATTGCAGACTTTACAGGATCTGTCGCGAGCATTGTGATCCGTCTGTCGTTTCGAGATAATGTGCAAGTTGTGCACAGAATGTTCAAGGGCTGGGCAAAGGCTTGGGACTTTGAACCTGATTCCTAGTGCTCTCGTTTGAGCTCACTTCTCTTTTCTCCGGCTAAACACAAGAACAACCGGTGCACAACAGAATTACTGATGAAGCTATTCCTGTCCACTTTCGCCGCCACAGTGGCGTTCGCTCTCAACGAAGGTGCTCACGCACTTAATGTCAAGATACCCGGCGTTATTTACACTGCGCGCAATTCGATGAATCAAGACAACGACAGTGCCTACTGTAAATCTGCGGCTGAAGTCGAGGAAGATATGATCGCCTTGGCAAATTCCGTGGAGAGGGTTCGAATTACTTCTCTCACCGATTGCAACCAGGCAGAGCTGGTACTACCAGCAGCCAAAAAGGCTAAAGTGTTCGTGATGCTCGGCCTTTGGACATCAAACAACCCCGACCAATTTGCTGCAGAAAAGGCGAAATTGGGCAGTCTAATGGATTCGGGACTGTATGACAACAATGTCATTGCCGTTTGTGTGGGTAATGAGGCAGTCCACCGTGGCGAAATCCCTATTGCGACTGCTATCACGTACGTGAATGAAACCCGCGACTTTATTCGTGAACGTGGTCATGATACACAAGTTACTGTTGCTGAAACTCCCGACGTGCTCGAAAACAGCGGTGATCTAATGGATGCAGTTGACTTCTTTGCTATAAATGTCGTCCCGGATACCTATATCTTTGATAGTATGGTTTCGGTGCTTAATCAAATTCGCGCATTACGTGGGTATGCGCGAGGAAGGAAGAAATTTATTTCCCTCACGCAGACTGGTTGGAGCTCAGGCGGCAATGGCTTTAATGCAGGCGTTGCTCATCCTCAAAATCAAGCTAGGTACTTTGCTGAATTGTATCAGTTCACTACATGGATGGATGTTCAGTTTTATTGGTACCAAGCTTTTGTACCTAAATGGGGAGGTATCCACGGAGGCAATGAGGTTGATGCATACTACGGCATTTTCAACGACGATCGGACGTTGAAGAGCAACTTCCAGGACCTTACGATCAATGTGAAGAGGATGTGTTACTTCCGCCAATCCAAATCCCAATTGTACTTATCTGAGAGCGACAGAGACATTTACATGTTCGACATAAT